ATATAGTTGATCTATTTGGAGTCTGCAATAATAGTAATAATAAAATAAAAACTTATTATCATATTTTAATTTTACTCACATGTTGTCCTAGTTGCAGTGGAGGAAACCTGGCTGGGCGTCAAGGCAACACAATACCTGGTCAGCACTCATGTCAAATGATTAAATTACTACGTAGAGAACATATCAAATTTCAAATGCCATTATATTTTATTGATAAAAAACATTCCTTCAAACAAAAAAAACGTGTATCTTGCATATGGTGCACATTAACATTTGTTATATTCACAAACTGGATCTTTCAATCTGACATTACAGGATTGCAACATTGATCTATCTTGTGGTTAACTTCACTGATATGTTTGAAAGTTTTGCAAGGAGGTGCACAAACAAATTTATTTACAAAGAGTTTAATAATTCAATTTACGTGTCAACCGAAATGAAAAAAATCACTTTATAATAAAGAAGTTTTATATTTTTCACTAATAGTGAAATAATTCCGATTTATGCTTTTATCAATAATAAAAAAATACATGTTTAATTTAACGGTTCAAATGCCATAATATTCAACTTTTGAAATAGCTTAAGAGGAAATTTGTTAAAAGTGTAATAAGTGATGCCCGTATTTGTTAGATATTTGTTCAGAGTGTAACAATGTATTACTAATAAAAAGGTATATAATATAAAATGCAAAGTATAAAATACAAAAAAATACAAGAAATTTTTTGATGTATGCGCTCATTGTATCAACTTACAAATCTGTTGTGAAACCAATTATGGATATGTGTTAATGGATTTCGGTTTGAATCTTTTTTTTTGGAAATTTATTTTAACTTTCAATGGATTTGAGTGGTGAGGTTTTTACATATATTATACGTATGTAATTATATATTTATGTAATTTCAGTTTTTACTTCGATTGCAATAAAAATAATCAATAAGTGTACGATAGTGTGATAAACAGTGACTAAAATATATAGCATTATAATTAGATTATTCATATAAATTAATTGTATATTTAATTTGATATGGATAATTGAATATATTCATGAAATTCAAAGGTTAGACATGGGTTAGGACTATCCTTTATTCTATTATTATGTACACATTGCTAGGACATATATACTATAAAAACATCATTTTTAATCTTGTCCTTCAATGAATTTTGATAAGAAATCTTAGGTTGGGTTCATATGTTTCTTTCCAATATCTCATGACATGTCCTTTTTGTTTCCATATTTTTGCAGTTTCTTGCAATTCCATCTGACCCTATAAATAAATCATTTTTACTAATTAGAATATAATTATTGTTATAAATTACAATACCTTTATCACGAGCATATCAATAATTCGTATGTCAGTAAGATGCTTGTTTTTTTCGAATTCTTCTCTCAATTTGTCTCGGCACTGTTCAACATTCTTTGGTATATGATAATCCATAACTGGAATAAAATATTCATTTTTTGTATTTATAAAACAAGAAATAAGGTTAAAATAGATTTAGGTATTATCGCAGTATTTCTTGGTTTAAATTTTAAATCATTTTACAAAGATTTAAATCAAATATTATGCAAGCACATACTCAGATTGGAGTTGATTGTGCATAACTTTGTAAATTAATAGTGATTAAATTTATTGGTAATAATAAAATCCAAGTACTAACGATAAAAGGAATATACTTTCAAGAACATATGTAAAAATACTTCTAAGCAACCTAAATGATATAACAATTTGGTGCAATATAATTTACTCAATGATGTGCAAGTATAAAAGGTTCTATTACCCATGTAGGGAATGTATCTGTGCCAGGCCTTATATAAGTTTAGAACTCGCTGCCTTGCCTCTGCTCTATCGACCGACAGCAAAGGCCGAACTTGTTTACTCGCAACGCGAGCTGCTTCACGGGCTGCCATGCTTATTTAAAAATAATAAAATATTAGAAAAAATATTGTTAAAACTCGTACTATATAATTTGACACTTAGGTTATACCTTTTAATACTTTACCTGTCAATTGAAGAAGTGCCAGATTGACGAATTTTGAGTTTAAGTATTACCTGATGTAGGAATTGTAGTAGGGGCGTCAGTGCTCTGTACCTTATTAATTTTCTGGAGTCAGTGCTGATTGCAAGAAATCTATAACGAAGTATGAGATGGAAAAAGAGCTTTACATACAAATACACATATTAAATAATATAAAATTTTCCTAATTAATTTAATGGATATGGAGACGTGTTGATTAGTTTTTTGCAAAAGTTGGTCCAGCCGTTTCGGAGATACGGAGCGAAGAATGCAGAAAATGGCAATCCGGTTTATATGATTCAAAAACCATATCACTTGTATTGACAAAATGAAGAATTGATTAAATGTTTGCAAGGGCATGTCCAGCGGTTGATAGTATGGTCGATATTTTTTGATAGTACGGATCAACCCACATGAATGGGTTGGAAAACATATAAGAAGATATATAATACATATAAGAAACATAAAAAGTTTGGAATTTTCAACAAAAAAAGATTTTAGTTTACAAAAAATATGAATTTTTATATGATTTTATATGAGTCTTTAACAATATTAAATTGCGGTACGCAAAATTTCAGCAATTTTTCTTAAGGCACGATGCCATGCACCACTCGTTTGTTAACTTCCCGTAGCATAAAGTTATAGTAATCGCAAAAAAAAGATCGAAAAAATGGATGGACGTGTGTTTTTTTGTATAGCGAAGGAAATGCCTTTATGCATCCCAGACTGGTCTTTTGTCTGGGTATGTCGGACTCAATACCGCTCTGGTATAATACCGACTAAAACCTCCGCTTTGCGCTTGCTTCTGGTCCCCACGGAAACCGCCGTTAGGCATTACTTCGTGGGGGAAGGATCTAGAATGTTATAATTCTTAAAGAAGGATCTAGAATGTTATAAGCGGGCGAAGTCCCATTCGTCCTTTCTCTTTCCATAGAGCGCAGGTCAATTAATACCTTTCTCGCAAATCTGTCTATGGCGTTCCAAGCAGCTTCACTTCCCAGTATCACTTCAACCACTTCAACAACATTACCTGAGGTAATTCTGCGGCTCAAAAGTCTCTTCCACGTCGTCCCGTGCAGCACCAAATCGCAGGCACACAAAAAACACATGCTCAGCATCCTCGATTTCGCTCAAACAATATGGGCAATTCGGCGAACTATCGTGCTTGAAGCGGTGTAGGTAGGCTCGAAAACAGCCCTGCCCAGATAGCATTTGCGTAGTATAATAATTTACTTCTCCATCCTTGCGACTTAGCCAGACTTTGATGTTTGGAATGAGACGATGCGTCCATCTGCCCTTCACTGCGACATCCCACAGTTGCTGCCATGGGTCAATGCTGTTCTGCCGTTCTTCTAATCTAAACTTTTCAGGACTCAGTTGTTGAGCACTAACGTGTTCCACCTGTTGATTGAAATTCAAACGAGCATCAAGCGTTACGCCGAGGTAACAGAGGTTTTGACGTGATCTCTAGATTTCCTATCTTTAGCTTGATGGTCTCTTTTGTTTTTCTACTAGTGATAAGAACAGCTTCACTTTTTTGTTGTGCTAATTGGAGGTTTATTGTTCCCATCTAGCGATTAATTTTTCTAAATGTTATATCGAATAGACTTACGATGTCATCAATTTGGTTAGTAGTTTCACACATTCTGGAATCTTTAGTCTCAAAAGGCCATCATACATAATATTCCACAGTAAAGGGCCTAGAACAAAGCCCTGGGGCACACCTCCTGCTATATTATATTCTTCTGTACTATTGCGTGAATCGTACAATTAGAATTCTGTCTGTAAAGTAGCTTGCGACTATGGATGTGTGTGTGTGCGGATACAAATTTTCGTGGACGATTTTGAGAACACGGATCAACCGATATGAATAATTCAAAAAACATTCGATTCGTATTGATAAGGAGACGTGCTGATTAGTTTCTGGCAAAGGCAGGTCTAGCCGTTCCGAAGAGAATGGAGCGTTTGATTTCAATAATTCAAAAAACGTTTTACTTGTATTGACAAAATGAATAACTTATTTTATTTTTTTATTTTCCGTTACCTTTTCATACAATTTTTAGTCATAATAATTAAAAACGTAAGTTTCTTTCCAGCGCTCTTGCTATTGTTATTAGTTTTCAATTTGACAGACTTATCTCTGTTGACAGATGTGATATGATACACAATTACAGATGGTGTTTATTAATTAATCATAGATATTAGATAGAATCGTGTGTGTATAATATATTTAAATAAATCAAATTAAAATGCTGTCAAGCTTAGTGAAGGAACATCAATCTAAGCAATCAATACGTAAAGCAAGTCAAGGTATGTTGCTATCTTTCTAAAAATAAAATGTAATTAGTAATGTAATGTAATATTTTACTCTATCTTACCATTTTAGAGCAAAAGAAAAAAGAAGCAATCGCATCGACTAATGATTTAACTCAAGCTTTGGTTGATCATCTTAATGTGGGGTTAGTATACTGTGATAAACATAATATATTATATACTTAATTTCCTAATCACTCTTTGTACATTTTAAAGCAGTAGAATTCTATAAATCTAATACATATTTATAAATTAATTGCCAATTATTTATTAATTATAGAGTGGCGCAAGCTTATCTGAATCAAAAACGTTTAGATGCCGAGGCAAAACAATTACAAATTGGGGCACAAAACTTTGCCAAACAAACACAGCAATGGTTACAACTTGTTGAAAATTTTAGTAGTGCTCTTAAAGAGATAGGGGATGTTGAAAACTGGGCCAAAAGCATAGAATCAGACATGAAGACAATAACCCTTTCTCTTGAATTTGCATATAAAACGACTCGAGAAAGTATATGATATAGAGATAAGAACTAACAGGTGCATCTTTCTTAATATAATATATTTGTTAAAAATGATATGTTTAATGCATGAAATATTGAGTTACATATACTGTATACTAATATTTGATGAATTAAACATATAAAATAGTAACTTTTTACACAATTAAGCTCATCTTATAAATTATTTTTCCGAATTATAGAAATATAAAATGGTATAAAGTTCAAAATATTTTGTCTATATCCTATTGTTTTCTGCAAATATTTAACTGTAATTCTCATACTTGCAGAAACAAAGTTGTTTATTGACATACATATTTAAGTAAATTAAAATATTTATTTATAGAATTATTTAAAAATATTATAATTTCATTTTTGTTAAAAATACATAAAGTATTATATATAAACAATTTGTTTAATATACTACACAATGGCTTACATTTATTTATTATTATGGTATAAAATTCTTTGTTGTGTTAAAGCTTTTTCTAAATTAGCACATTTTGCTGAAATACGGTCATATTCAGCTTGTAGTAGACGCAGTGATGAATCTTTTTTAGCTACAGCTAGTTTTACTCTGAAATTTATATAAACATAATACAGTTATTGTATTCTTTTAACTTAAATAAAATGCATATTGCATATACATTTGAATTAGATGACCATTTCATAAACATACATTTCTAAATTATTCAAATCTTTTAATCATATATGTGAAAATTTTAGTATTATGTATTACCTTGCATAAATTTGTTCTATTTCCGTTTCTCTATCTTTTTTTAGAGTACGAATATCATTATGTAAGGCAGCGATTTGCGAGTCAAATTCTTCTTTAATCTCATTTCGTATTTTATCTTTTTCGGCGATCAGATTATTGTACAGCTTAAAAAAATCAAAATGTTTGTGAGCTCATATGTTTAAAGCTTCGATGGATTAAAAATACCTTTTGAGAGTGGGTCCTTTCTACCTCCAGTTGTTTAATAGTTTGTTGTAATAAGATATTATGTTCTTCAGCTTCTAGATATTTTTGTTTTAATTCAAAAACTTTTTCTTGCATTTGCTTCTCTGACTTCGATAATTCGCACATCTCTATTTCATATTTTTCCTTTTGGCGCCTGAAATTTTTCGAAAAGTCTCAATAATTATATATTCCAAATTACCAAATTATTATTAATTATTATTATCATTATATATATAATAATGATATTTTGCTGTATATATTTAAGATATTACCGCAAACGATTTTCAGCTTGTCTTTCAATGTGCCTTCTCATTTCTTGGCTTTCTTTTTCAACTTTCTCTATAACTTTTTCGATTTGCCTATCTCTATCTATCTTGCAGGCTTCCCGTATTTCCTTCTCACTTTGCCGCAATGCTTCAACACTCTGCTTAGACAGAGCGGCTCTTGCTGCTTCCTGCTCCAATTGAGCGTCTTGTTTCAAGGCGGTCAATTCTGTCTATAATAAATTAATCACATTGAACCATCAAAATTAAAAAGTATAAATCCTTTTTAAATGAACTTGATTTATCAGAGTTTTCTTTACATAAGGTTGTCAAATATCTCCCTTCCGCCTTTTTGTATTATAAATCAAGAGCAAAAAAGCGGAAGGGAGATATTTGACAACCTAATTTTTTTTTTGTCGACCGCCGACATATTTTTTTATATTTTTTACAATTTTAGTACTTCAGTTTAGTACTTCTACTTCATAATTTTATTATTATTGTTAATTTTTGGTGGACTCAAAAATTAGTTAGTTGTTATTTTCACATATCATTTTACCTAATTTTTATTATTTGAATATGTCAATTTTGTTCTCAATAACTTTTATAAAGCTTTATAAATTTGATAAATTAGAATTAATACACATCCATAATTACAAATTCATCCAGAATGTGTAAGAAAAGTATTAAAATGCTAATGGATGAACTAATTACTAATTAATTGATATTAGAACTTATCACTTAGATTATTTCTATCGTACTTCATATCGCTTTCTGATAGCTTCTACTTCCTGGAAATGCTGATTTTGAATATCTTGAATAGCACGTTTATGTTGAGATTCAGCATTTTGGCGAACTTTTTCTTCGGCATTTCGCATAGATGCTACTGAATCCTCAAGTCTCCTTCTTTCTGCGCACATTTCTTCTTGCATCCGCAACCGCAATGCTTCAAGTGCTTGACGCTCACCGTTCAATTGAACTTCGAATCTGCAACAGAATTAAAAATTCTATATCCGACTTTATTTTTTATTAACTCTTTCCACTCGCGATTTGCGAGTTTTATATGTATTTTGCCGCCGGAGAGGAAAGGGTTAAATGTTCTTTATCATTCTCGTCGAATTACCTTTCCCGTTCCCTGCTTACAGCTTGCTCTTGTTCTCTTAACATTTCTTCTCTCGTGAGGTCAACTCTACGTTGCATTTCCTGTTGGTGCTTCAAACTGGCTTCATGAGATTCTCTGTTATATTTTTGGCGCAACTCTTCAAGCTGACTTAAGTGCTTATTGGAAATTGACTCTAATTCATCGGCCATGCCTTTCACTGTCATTTCCTGAAAATGAAAATAACTATATCATATATTTTTATTGTGATGACAATATTAATTGTATTATCTTCTTATATATAAAAATGAATCTTAAATGTGTTGGTAAGCTCATAACTCAACAACGCCTGGACCTATTTGGCCAATTCTTTTTTTAAAATGTTCGTTAAAGTACAAGGATGGTTCTTACGGCGAGAAAAAATCGAATAATTGCCGGGAAAACCCTAAAAACAGTCCTTTTTTTCACATACAAACGTTTACTAACTATTATATGAAGTTCATTTTAAATTACAAGCACTCACTGTATACTCCTCCTAAACTATTATTCGGATTTTGATAAATCTTTCTGAAGTTTGTTAAGGAAATTTTCTAGGATGTATGTGATTATAAAGCACTGAGATGTATGTGCAATATTGTAGAAATAAATGGAAAAAATTGCATTGCAAACAATTGAAAACTATCATCTGCCAAATATTTCAATTTACTTATGAACCTAGACAATGTTAGAATATGTATAATAAATTTATGAGTATTAATAAGAAAAATGAAATGCCTACATTATTATTGCCAAAAAGCAGCTGAGATGTGCCAGAAATTAAAATATTATAAAATACAGTATACGAGGTGTGTTCAAAAAGTACCCGGAATTACTAATAATTAAATTTCGCGGGTCTGGAGTGTCTGATTGTCAAAATTTTTTTTTTATTGGGTTGGTATACATGCCCCTAAAGTATGATGAAATTTTCAGCTATATTCACTGTTTACTTTGTCTGTGGTAGTCGCTAAGGTTCGACGTGTTTTTCTGAGCTCGGCGATTTTTACAATGGAAGAATTGAAAAGTCAAAGAATTTGTATTAAATTTTGCGTAAAAAATGAAATAAAGTGTTGCAAAGTGCAAAAATTCACCAGATATGGCTCCGTGTGACTTTTTCCTATTCCCAAAGTTGAAGAGACCCATGAAAGGACGGCGGTTTTCCTCGATTGAAGAAAATCGCTGAGAGTGCTCAAGGACATATCAAAAAGTGAATATCAAGGGTGCTTCGAAAATTGGAAAAAACGCTGGCATAAGTGTATTATATCTGGGGGGGACTACTTTGAAGGGGACCACATTAATGTAGACGAATAAATAAATATTTTTTTGAAAAAACGAAAATTCCGGGTACTTTTTGAACAGACCTCGTATGTATGACAGATTGAATGATACACATATGAACAGGATATGACAAACTAATTCTCCTAAAATATAAAATTATTAAGTATTGATCAGGGGGGTAAACAATAATTATTATTTTTAGGTAAACGCGGTAATCATTCGTATATTATATTGTAGACATGGGTAGAGGACAACGTCTAACGGGTCATCTAGTTATTTATTAATTTTGGTGCAATTTACAAATAAGTTAAATAAAAAATAAAGTTCAAAGAGAATTGAGATTTATTAACTTTGAAGTGTCACTATAGAATTTTGTAATTTTGACAAGGCACATCATTCTAAACTCTAATGAATTTGTATAATTAAACCACTTTTTGTAGGCACATTATATTTTAGAATATTCCATTTAATCTATCACTATGCATAAAGTTCAACAGTTAACTTAAATATGACAAAAGAGCCCGGCCGTTCTTTATCAGAAACTAATCAGCACACGGTTTCCAACAGATATCTTTCGAATAGTTTTTGAATATTTGGCAAAAACGCAAACGAAAATTTTTACACAAATCCACTATTGGTAAAGAAAAGGCTCGGCCGAAATTTCCCAAAAATAATGAACGAAGTCCTTATGGAGTTTCATTGAATAGCTTTTAAATTGTTGATATCAATGCAGTTGTTTTTGAGTTTTGTTCAAATAATGATTTTCACCATATTTATTGTGTTTAAAAAATAATACCTTAATCTTTTTAGAATGGGTTTCTACCCAGCGGTCCCGGCGTAACTTTTCGGCAGCTAAAAGTTTGTCTCTTGTACGTTGAACTTCCAGGCTGTGTCTCTGTTCGGCTGCCTGCATATTATGTGCGTATCGCTGCTCGGCAGTTTTCAAATCAGCAACCAATCGATCGCACTGGGCATTAAGCGTCTTCTTGTCAGCTATTAGCTGAAAATACACTCATATAGTAGTCATACAAATAGCGCAATCGAAAATTTGATGCACTGTGAACGCAACCTCTGGTATGTTGCAAATGACACCCTACATAAAGACCGAAAAATAAAAACTATTAATGAAATGATAAAAGACAATCTACCAGGTCACCCAAACATATATTTAAAAGAATTAAGCGAGGAATATCCCACACGAAGATTGAAAAAAATGACCATTTGATCTTAAATAAAATGTCAAAAAATAAAAAAAAGAGATATCTCATAGGAGATAATTTCTTAAATGCATTTACACCCAGCATATTGCCTTAAAAATGTATATTATTTTGATAAAATAAAACTATGCAAAAAAAATATAGTAGTTAAAAATTACAAGGCTTTGGATTGTTTGGAATGTTTCTATCTTTCAATTATACCTGATCAATGAAATTTTGGTGCCTCCGTACCACTTCTTCAAGATCCTGTTTTTGAGCTTTCAATTTATCTTGGTGCTGTTTACGTAAAGATTTCTTCTCCTTTTCATGTTCACTTTTTCTGTCGTTTAAAGCGTCTTTTAAAAGAGCGTTACTACAATTTTGTTCGTGGAGTTGTATTGATAAACTAATGATCATATTTCCCAGCTCTCTATTTGGCAATTTTATTAATTCGTGCATCCTTGAATAAAAAAAATCTATGGAATAACTAATATCTTCATCTATTTTATATAACGTTATATTAAGACTTTGTAGACAAACATTTCATAAAGCTTTGTAGACAAGCAATATCTTACTTTGGTAAATCATCATAACTCGATGAAACACGTGCATAATCTCCAGCGCCTTGTTGTAGCTGAACGTTTTGGATTCTACACTTTGCTTCTTTCAAAATGTTTTCACAATCGCTATCCACTTTGTCGAGAAAATATAAAATATCTCTGAAATAATAATAAATTCATTTTAAAGATATTTGCATTATTATTTACCTTACGTTAATAATTACTTATATTTTGAAGTGTTTTTTGGACATTCTTGATCCAAGTTATTACCGATACTAGCAGTCATGTTTACTAGATTTTCCATTTCCTGGTTTTTATAATTCTTTAGTATAGCTGATGCATCACCTGAAATAATGTACGAAGAATAAATAATCCAAATATATTTATTGGTCCTCATTGACTCTAAAACTTTAGTAATGCATAATGTTCGTTTTAAAACTTTTTCTAGATTTTTTCCTTATTTTGGAACTGTATTTTTAATGCGGATCAATTGGATGATAATGAAATTTTATGATAATAGTTTTATCAAAATATTGTAAATTTTTTGAGTAATAACTTTTATTAATAAATAAAAAATAACTGGTTAATTATTAAAATACCCGATCCTGACCTTTAAAGTCGATATCCTCTCCTTCAATTTCTTTCAGTATTGCGGCAATTTCACCGTATGCAGATTCGTTTAATGTAATTTCGCAATCAGCTACTTTTTCAATAGCTTTTTCATCTTCTTGACTACGCTCGCTGACTGAGTCCATATCAGGACACTCGACGTCCTGCAAACGATCCGTGGTCAGGCCTACAAGTCTGGTCGGGCTAAAGCTTCTGGACATCCAACTTTCAAATTCGTAATTGCGGACTTCTGGGATGTGGGCGTCGTCATTACATTGTCTATATTCACTAAACAAAAGCTGATTATCATACACGAAAAAAATAACATAATATAGAGACAATGTTTTTTTTCAGTGTTTGTACTGTAATATTTTTTTTACACTTTTGTGATAAAACCTTAGCAGAAAATATTATTTAGAAAAAAAAAATGGCTATAAATTCTATTACCTACAAATAGTGAAAATTCAACTTATTGAATCTGTATATTGTATCTGTAATAACTGTAGTTCTTCTAACGTGATTTGTGTTTTAGAGGCTAAGGATAATATTCCGCCAAACTAAAATCTTAATTTATATTTATACTCTTATTTCATACGTTTGGGGATACCCCTTCTTCAAGAACAAATCGAACAAAACAAACAGTATTTTTAAGTTTAAAGAATATTCTGAAACATATGCGTTTTATATGCTAGGCTATTAAAGAGCCAAGTATCATTTTTAATTTCAATTATTGTTTTATTGATTTACTAACCTGGTGGATCTTGTCGGACTAGGTTTGGAACGTCTTTTATGAAAACTTTCACTACTTTGCTTAGAACAATATTCATTTTTAATTGGGGAGTTTTTTACTTTATAATATGTATTTATAACAGAATTAGAGGACCTAGTTATTTCGCTGTTGGCAGTTGATTTAGTTGCAGGCGAAGTTCTATTTGTACTAAATTCACGTTCGGGTCTTTGAATATCACCAACGGTGGCAATGTAATTGTTTATCACTCCATCCTAAAAAAAAGTTAAATTAAAATTTCAACTATATGTCTTTTCAATTTATTATAAACACACAAACGAATTTAAAAGTATCTTTTACCTGTGATATGTCTGACTCGTGTTCTAGATAACTAGATAAATGACTTGAAGGGAATTTTACAGAATTAACTTCAGGAGTCGATGATTTAAGAATACCACTATTGAATGATTCTCTATTTCCATGTGTAATTGTTTTTGTTCTATTATTGTCGTATTTGATTTGGATTCGTATTCATCTAGATAACTAAAGTGTTCATCGATTTCGTAACAGGCATTTTCGTTTTGAATTTGCTTACTTTCTGCCGCATGCTGTGCATTTATAGATTCAATTTCTTTTTTGTAATCTTCGATTATATTATCTGTATTGAGTTCAGATAAATCCACATTCACCTCGTGTTTTGATAAAATTTGTTCAATTTCTTCATCTGCAGATAATGCTCCACCGTCGTCTTCTATGTACTGATCATGCGCTAAATGAAAAATTTCATTTCAATTTCCAATAGATAAAAGAAAAAAGGCTTATGCTACTAAATATATTTAATTTATCTTTAATAATAGTAATTGTAAAATTGATTTTTGGTTGTGAATGTATAATCTATGTAGTGCATGCTGAACTAAAATTCTTTATTTATTAAAATTGCCTTAGAAATACCTTAATTATTACCTAAAATAGAAATTTGAAAGCCTAATATTAATATATGAAAAAAAAGATCTTTACCAAAAACTAATCAGTACGATTCCCAACTGATGTCTATTATGTATCTTTCGAAGAGTTTTTGAAATTTCAAAATCGATTTAGGATTTTAGTGACAAACCATTGAGAATGACTAGTTACCATCAGTATTTCTAGCGAAAGGTAAAATTATACTTCGGAAAGTTAAAGTTATATAATTTTCACAGGTACCTATTGGTGCATTTTCTTTGTAGAAACTAACTCTTCCTGAAATATCCTTGGGGGTTGAAGAATTCTCGCTTGACCAGGCATCGCGTGTTGGTGTGTGGTCGATATTTGATGTGTCACTCGAACGAACACTGGGACTTCTTGAAGGCAAAGGGGGTTTCTGTGTCAGCCCAGGAGAAATTAACAATGTTCCGTTCATCTCTTGTGATGTGCATTCTGCGATAGCATCGTTGTCTTCTTCGCTTCCTGATGAACTTTTATCACTTTTGAAAAACACCTAAAGCATCAAAGTTTTAATATTTTAATTGCAATTGCATTTTCAGAAATGATGAGAAAATTTTATACAATATCGACAATATCATATCACATTTGTTTCGGCTGCTAGATTATAATCGAGAGTTCATGTACTTATCATGTTTTCTATTTTACTGACTTTCAAGTTCATAGACATTTTTAAAGAAAACTTTTAAATCTTATATATAAAAATGAATCGCAAAATGTGTTGGCCAATTCTTTTTTTAAAATGTTCGTTTAAGTCGAAGGATGGTTTCTACGGCGAGAAAAAATCGAATAATTGCCAGGAAACCTCTAAAAACAGCCCTTTTCTTTTTCTTATACAAACGTTTTCTAACTAAAACGTAGAATCAATTTGAGCTTCATTGCTATTATATAAAGTTCATACTAAATTACAAGCACTCACTGTATACTCCTTCTAAACGATTATTCGGATTTTGATAAATTTTTCTGAAGTTTATTAAGGAAATAAATGCAATATTGTAGAAATAAATGAAAAAAAATGCAAAAAACGACATGTGATTGTTTGCATTGAAAACAAATAAAAACTATCATCTGCCAAAAATTTTAATTTACTTATGAGCCTAGACAATATTAGAATATGTATAATAAATTTATGATTATAAATAAGAAAAATGAGATGTCTACATTATTATTGCCAAAAAGCAGCTGAGATGTGCCAGAAATTAAAATAATATAAAATACCAGTATATGTATGGCAGATTCACATATGAACAGGATATGACAAATTAATTTACTTAAAATATGAAATTAAGTAGTTTGTTTTCAATATATAATTTTTTTGCATCTGGTACTAATTTTTCCACATTTTTTTTTAAATTCGTAAAAATTTCACTTTATAACAACAAATGGGAAAGTGAAGATGAATACATACAATTCGGCATTCACGATATCGATTAGGAGAAGTTTAAGAAGCAATTTTGGATATCTTAAATAACAAAAAATTAAATTAATTTAATCCAACACGAAGTACCAGTGTTATGTTATGATTATGGTTATGTTATACCGTTTAAAAGACTTTAATTTCCAATATAGTGTTGGGGCATTGAGACTCATTATTTTATTTTAAGCAGTTCTACATTTAACATCGCTCATATTATAAATGTATATGCATTTTGGCGTGAAGAGTAATTTAAAAAACAGTAACTATTATTAGGTAAACGTTAAATATTAGTACATTATATTAAAAAATTGTAGACAAGGGTACAGGACAACGTCTGTCGGGTCATCTAGTATTAATATAAACGAACCTCAACATTATCATTAAATTGCACATGGTCTTTCAGCTTGTAATTATTCGCTATAAGGTGGTCTCCGTAGTTTTCGATTTCATCTCTATCTAAATTCCTTTGGGATCCAAATAATTCGGAAGTACTAGGCGTCTGGTATTCCGTTTCTAACTCGTTAATATTCTCAGCAGAATCCCTTGCGAGCGTCTTTATACGAGCTCCCAAGCTATCGTCAGAGGAGGCTTTACTATCTGCACTAGATTCATCCCAAGATCGAACTGTGAAATAGTTTTAATATAAAGTCTTTATATCTAAAAGAGATAGAAAAATCTTTATATCTATAAAGAGATAGAAGGAAACTTGTATATGATAACTTTTATATAATCCTAATCAAACAAACCTTTAATGGGTTCTGAAATCATAGATTGTAGTAATCTGGCCGAGTCAGGGCAAGATTTACTATAAACTCGTCGGGAAAGTGGCGGTGAATGCTTTTTTGGTTTGAGTTTCCTTTGTTGATTTACTGGATGATCTGCTGAAAAAGGTCGACAAGGCGAAGACAAAAAGTTGTAAGCAGTTCTTTGGCAACTATCTGGTCGGCGGCAAAAGGCTGAAATAGATGAGCTTGGTCGCAGACGTTCTCGAGTTGGTTTTGTACGGCTGACTAAATTAATCTAAAAAAGAAAAAGTTCAGCACCCACTGACCAATCTTTTTCTATAATGGATATATGTTAATGGATATAAATTTTATGGCAATAATAAGCTATGAATAGAAGGGCCATCATTGATTGAGGTGCTCTCACGCCATAGACCTTCGGGCAGACAACCATTTATTATATTATGCATTAATTTAATTTGCAACATTTTTTATAAAATGAATTATGATGATTATGAATATTTATTAAATTACCTGCGATCCTTGCAATCGTAAATCCATTCTTAGTTTCATTAATGAAGTGCCAATGTGACAATGTCAGAACCACAAAACAAAAGAAAGTTAGCGATGTAGTTCGTGTAACCGATTTTGGCATGGGCGATGTATGCCGGTGAATACAGTGCAATACTTGAGAGTGACTGAAAGTGAAACTTACCCCCTGCTTGCATGCACATCACAATTATATTAGTCATTCTGATAAACTATATTGATTTAATAAATAGTAGCACGCGTGCTACCTCCTGCAGTAACAGTGTACGTGGTCAAGTGCGCTTACAATTTGTTTTGAAGAAATCTACCCGCAACGTTTTTTGTATACGTTCGAAATTACTATGGAAACGACTAATTGTACGGTAGCTGTAGCATACAGGTTTATTGTCGATTCGCTAAAAGAATTATAGTTATAGGTTACGATACAATTTCTATTTCATATTTTTTATATCACATTGTGTACTCAATTTCATCTTTTAGGGCATGGATCCAAATCCCACTCCCTTTTTAGAATTATTCATATTCATAAACCGTTTAAAACTTTTTTCAAAAGACGGAATTTTTTTATAATCTTTAAACTACTTAACAGTTAATTTTAGTAAAGATTATGCAACGAAAGACCTAATTTGAAATGCTTTTCATCATTAACCCTGTAATACCTTTCAACCCTTAATTTTTACTAAATTACAGGAACTTATATCATAATTCTTAGATCTATTCTTCATAATCCTTTTTAATCTTCAAAGCATAAGTTTCCAAACTGTTTTCTGCCGTGGACCCCTATTTTTGGTTTATAATGGAACTTCTGTTTATTATATGGAAACTCATTTCTAAGATCAATTTCTTATAGTACAGATAATTACTATTAATGTAATTTTAAAGTAAAAATATATGATAAGTTAATGCATTTATTAATAAAATTTAAAATAATTACTAGTGGTGTATGGCACCGTGCTTCAAGGCAAATTGTTGGAATTTCCCGTACCAAAAATTAAATTTTTTAAAAAAGATTAAAGTTTTTTTTAAACTTTGAAAAAAAAATAAGTTTTTGAAAAATTTACAATTTTTGAAAAAAATTGACTTTTATGGATAAAAAAAATTTTGGAAAAGTTTTTTTTATTTTAAATTTTTTTGGAAATTTTGAACGTTTTTTCGAAGCAATCGCTTTGATTTACTTATAGAGATGTTAACAAAATTGATAAATATTATAAAATCTCCATAAAATATCTGATAATTTGATGTGCATATGAGCATTTTTGATCGACAAATGACATTTTTTTTACTTTCTTTACTAGATCTCCGAAACCGCTAGGCCTGTCTTTCCAAAAATTTAATCAGTGGCTAATGAGCATTTTTGACCGCCAAATGGCCTTTTTTTACTTTCTTTACTAGATCTCTGAAACCGCTAGGACTGCCTTCCCAAAAATTTAATCAGTTGCTAATGAGCATTTTGGACCACCAAATGGCATTTTTTACTTTCTTTACTAGATCTCCGAAACCGCTAGGCTTGCCTTTCCAAAAATTTAATCAGTTCTTTATCTTGTTAATACAAGTGAAATGTTTTCTGTATTATTAAAATCGAACGCCCTGTTATCTTAAAAACTGAGTTTAGACGTAAACGACTAGATCTGCCTTTGCAAAAAACTAATCAGCACGTCTCGTTATCAACACGAATCGAATGCTTTCTGAATTATTCAAATCGGTTGATCGATGTTTCCGAAATCGTTGACTAAATTTTGTATCCGCACACACACAAACACACACACACACACATACGTTCATTTTTTCTAAGGTATGCCAAAATGTTCAGAAGTCTTTGAAAGGTAAAGATACATGAAAATTTTCATTTTCGATTTTTTGCGATTAGTATACCTTGTCCTACGGTAAATTAATAAGGGTTTTATAAGTTTAAAGATTGTTCGGCCATAAAGCGAATGCCTACGACGTAGACATTGTAAGACGTAGACCCTCATACAACTTACACATTTTGATATAAATATGTAATGTTTTTTTTTACTTTTTAAATTCTTTTATAAATATGGCTTACTATATTATAAGATCAAATAACGTGATACAACAGACATTAATTAACATGGTGAATTGTGATCCGTAGACCCCCAAATGTCTTTTTTGCTGACGCTGTGGGAATAACTTTAAATGCTAAATGTAACATACTGCTATAGAATAACATTAACATAGATTTATTTTTTGAAAAATCCATTCACATTGATAAATCTTTTTGAAATAGTTTAAAACTATTTGAAGCTACGCTCTATAATTTACTTCCCGCGAATTTATAAGTTCATCTACTTAAAAATACAATTATGTTAGCATAACACTTCGCTCTGTAATGAAATAAACGAATTATTGTTCAGTTTCTGTTCTTTTTCTCTACTTTCAGTACATTCTGAAATACACCCATGCGCACATTACGTCATCTCGGTTCGAGGACAAACGTACCGCGATGCGCGTGTCGTAATAGCTACGAGTAGTTGAAATCGAATAGTCCTTCGCCTTGGTTGTGTGAAGTGCGTATTATTTATTTATATTTGAAATATTTGCACGTGGGAAATAAAGAAAAATCGTTCATTAAAATGTTTGGCGGAATTGGAGGTAAGGATAAGAGATTTTATATCTCAACAAGTTGTTATAAATAAATATATGATTAAATTAGGACGTTACCTTCAACCTAATAAGCGATAGAACTGATTGATTAAATGTAACAGTACGAAAATATCCACTCGAGGTTTGGACGATATTTTGTTGATAGTTTAATACTTTTATCTAATTTTATAATTTTCATAAGTTGCGACGATCTGTCTCATAGATAAGGAAATGATTTGTCTATTATAACATTTAGAAATTGTTTTGTATTTTTTTAAGCAGATGATTGTTTGAAACGCATATTTCTGACATATTTTTTACTATACTTCAATAGTATTTTTGGTTTGTTATGCAGCAATTTTTGTCTATTATAACATTGTTATGCAGCAATTTCTGTCTATTATAGAAATTGTTTTGTATTTATTTATGCAGATGATTATTTGAACGGCATTTTTCTGACATAATTTTTACTATACTTCAATAGTATTTTTGGTTTGTTATGCAGCAATTTTTAATAGTCCAGTCAGAATAGTAAGTTCACCTCGGAATTCGAGATACCTAGCTGTAAGTCTGTAAATACTTGTATATTGACACCTAAAAGTTGTCTCAAAACCTACATATGTTGCGTACACCCTACCATATGTAGGGTTTTGAGATAACTTTTAGGTGTCAATATACAAGTATTTACATACTTACAGCTGGTTATCTCGAATTCCGAGATTCTTAGTTAATTTAAGCTTAAATGACTGGACTATAAAGTGCATAATGCCAAGAATTTCATCCATAAATTTTGTTTCATCGAAGGCGGGAATGCATTTAATAAATCCCGCGCACAATTTTGTGATCGCTATTGAGCTTAAGCATTGAAATTTTCAAATAAATCAATTGTTCATAATTTGTTAATATTTGAAATGAGTCTCTAACTAACAAAGTTTCCTGAAAAAAATCTAACAATAAGCTTTATTGAAAACTAATGATTACATTCTCCAAACTTAGTTTATTAATATCGAGTTTTATTTTTGAAATGTTTTGTTATTCATTTTAGCAGTTTGAAAGGAATATTTCTGACATATTTTTATTATTTTAATTTATTATTATTTTATTAATTATATGTTTCCACGTTTGCAATTCCACGAACTTGTTGAATAATATTCTGTACGTGATATAAAAGTCATGAATATTCTACGCAATATCCAATTAACTATTTCAAGGCCGTTACATGGATTTTATGGTCTCGAACAAAGAAGCAAACCCTAATCTGTTATGCTACAGGTTATAATAATTTCAAATATCGACTTTTTTCTGGTATTATTTCAATTTTTGGCGTTTTACTTTTTGCATTCATATTAAAATCATTTTTGTTCGCGATAATAATAAACTCAAATACAAATTTTGTTTCAATTAAGACATTGGATTAGTACAAAAATAGATATGAGTAGTTTTTCAATTAGCTACAAACAAGACATTCCTCTGTTCATTTTTATCTGCTTTGTTAGCGTTAAACTAAATAATTATGAAATTTCGTTGTAAACGCTATTTGAAAATATTTCTATTGTTCCGCTGTTTTTCTTCATAATTAAAACTATTTGAAGCTACGTTCTATAATTTACTTTCCGCAAATTTTATTTAAGTTTATCTACTTAAAAATACAATTATGTTAGCACAATTTATTTTTGAAATCATTACAACGAAAATTAAAGTTAATATTAATCAATATTAACTTTAGTATAAGCAACTATATTTATTTCTTACATAAAAAATCAGCATATGCAGTGGATCTTGAAAACAAACTTGATTTTATATTATAAAATATTTATTATATTATTTAATAATATTTAGTAATTTATGGATGCATGACACTGAACAAATACGAAATTATATAATTTCTTATAAGAAAATTCTGATAATTAAAAATCACTAATTATGAAATCATATATTTTTCACTGAACAATTTGTAGATTCATTAATTCTGCTGCATTTTGTGTCAACATTTTCAAGTTTTTAATGACTTAAAATGACTAAAATTTATGACTTAAAACCTATTACCTTTAATATCTATCTATAATACACGCTATAATATGATCATAGAATATGAAAAATCATCTTATGACACTTTCCTAATTGCACTAACTGTGCATCAGTTGGTCATGAAAATGGTTTTTATATTATTAAATGATTATATTAGTTATATTCTTTATGAATTACGAAAAATTGAGAAACCACGAAGTTTAAATTCGTTTAAAGAGACCAGAAAAGCAAAAACATTTTTTCATGAAGGGTTTTGTAGATTAATTATAATGAACCTATGAAAATCAATCCTGTTGAAGGCGATAAAAAACAATAGGCATTGGTTTAGGTTATTTTAATTATTGTGTAAATTTATATAAAATAGCTTAAAATTTAATGACGATTTGTCCGAAATTTCGAGAAGCTTTTGTATGCCAAAGGCATCTGAAAAATTTTTGTTATATTATTCATTTGTAATTTAGCTATTTTAATTATACATTGTTGATCGCACACTACATCACGTTATGTTCCGAATTAATTTTGATACCAATAAATATTTAGAATTCTACATACATAAATATTGTAATAGAGAAATTATTAATTAAATTCAATTCAACTCTACTTTGTAAAAACATTTTTCTCGTATTCAAAGTTAGATCGCATTTTTCTCTGAGTTCAAAAAATTCTATATTATCAATTGATTACAAAAACAAAGTATTTTATAATAATTACACAAGATCGTAGTGATTATTGCAATAACTTAGGTCCCACAATACACATGTGTATTGTGGGACCTAAGTTTTTAAAGGAAAAAATAATCAGGAATTATTTCTAATTCTCGGTTAAACTTATTTAATATCTTGTAAATAAAATAGATTTATATTTATTTCTTATGCTCTATATAATTTAAAATTTTTAAAACATAAACTATGAATATAAAAATTTATATTAATACATAAACTATTAATATAAAAATTTATAAAATATTTTTTTGGGATTTTTAAATGTGCATTTGCATATAATTTCATACGAAGACAAAAAACGAAAAAAACGAAGGATATATTTAATTTTATAATTATCGTAGCAATACAAATTAATTAATTTGCCTTCACCCTGGATATATGTGTGATCAAGTGTTACATATAACTTAACAGGATATTCGGAAAATGTTCCGAATGTGTGGGTTGTTGTTATCGATTTGTAAGTTTCTTGAAATTGTGCCAGTAAGTCGCCACGACTTTCGGAAGCTTTTCCTAACACTGAAGTAGGACAGGGGCGAAAGGTCAATAACTAATTACCTGGATAAAAAATGTATATGTACATATATTTCTAATGACATAAATTGTAAGCCACGTATATATATATATATATATATATTTTTAAATCGATAAATAAACCTAATGGGCTTGCGCTGGCTTCTCATGTTAAAATCAAATATAGCAAAGATATATAAAATAATATGAAAAAAATATATTCGTTTGTAATATACTAAAATTAATAATCAAAACTTTTTGGCTATATTTTTAATAATATTTGCGAAATATTATTCATTATATGATTTTTTTTGTAATACGAAAGCAACCTAATATTTTTTTTAATTCGATCACATTGATTAGGCAGCCTTGCAATAATGATACAATTTAATGAAGAAATTATCTTTAGGTTTATTTGTAGTTTTAATCTTTTAATTATAATTTATTTGTTTCATATGTTGTGCTTTTAAATATAGGTTCAATGATCTTCAAAAATGTTACATATCTCTTATTATATTACATTGTTTTTTTTTTTTAATTTGAACTTTTTATACTTTGGCTAATCTGGCATCTAGGTATTTGCTATAACAACAAATAAGTAATGTTTTATTTCTCAAATAAATTTGTTAACAATTATGTGAGATAATAAGGCCAAAGGTTTAAATGATTAATTATAATTTATCATTTAAACCTTTGGTCAGCTTGATGTCCTCCTGCCTGCCTTATTATCTCACACAATTAATAACAAATTTATTTGAGAAATAAAACATTACTTATTTGTTGTTATAGCAGATACCTAGATGAATTAACGAATTATTTTACGGTAACTTCTTCGAGCATGTTTCGTTTGCATTTTACTGGAATTTTATCACTAGATCTACTTGTTTTATTCATTCATTCTATATTTGTTCCATTAACATTTATATAAGTTCTAAAATTGCTAAAAATATGCGAAAAAAGAAATGCTATTCGTGTATTAACGGTAGCGTGATTGTGTTACATAAAAGCACATGCATTTAATGATTATATATGAATGCAACCTTGCAGAAAATATTTTATCGAGTACAATTCGTCATCAATAGGATATATTATATAAATAATTTAAAGTAATAGCCAATAAATAAATAATGTTTAAATAAATAAATGGCGCAACTATACCATCTGGGGCTACAGAAATTCTAGAATATTGGTGTACAGATTTCTGTGCAATATATTAAAACTACTTAACCATATCTGCAACAAAAATGATTAAATCCTGAAAAAAATCTTGTTTGTTCATTATATGAGATCAGCTTTGCTTTATAATATGTGTGTTTATGTATGCATAATATATATATGAATGTAGAAAGAAACGAGTTCATTGATATAAATATGACGCAGCATGGTATACCTTTGAGGTCATCGTTTCTTTGAGATTATAAAATTATGTAAAATATGTATATTATCGTTATTTATATATGTATATTTATCTGTTTGAAGTAAATTTATTAATATCGTAATTTACGAATGTTTTACGAAATTTACGCGTTTTTATATATTAATTTTCATATTAGGCTAGTATAAAAATAAACTGTGTTTTTTTAAATAATAGCATCACTAAAGAACATCGGGGCTAAAGCCGAAAATCTTTTTGAAAAGAAGAAGAAGGAAGCGGAAGAATTGGCAGCAGAAAAGAAAAGGGCGGCAGAAGAACTAATCGCCGAGCAGGCTCGTAAAACCGCTGAAACATTTAATCAAACGAAATCGGAACTTGAAACAAAAGCAGCCGAAACTGGTAACTAAAAAAAAAACAAAAAAAAAACTGTAAAATATCTTTTGATATGCTATTGTCATAATAAATTTAATTGATAAATATTTTTAACAATTAAATTTATTATGATAATTATAATTATTTAAAATAAGTTGTTACGGAACCGAAAAAAATATTTTTATTTTATTTTATTTTAATTAAAAATTGTGCTTGCTTATTATAAACTTTACACAAAGTTTTGTTTTTTAACTTCCCGTAGGGAAAGTTATAGTAATCGCAAAAAAATCGAAAATGAAAATGTTTATAGATCTTTACGTTTCAAAACCTTCTGAACATTTTGGCATTCCTTAGAAAAAATGGATGTATGTGTGTGTGTATGTGCGTGTGTGTGCGTGTATGTATGTATGTATGTGCGGATACAAATTTTCGTCGACGATTTCGGGAACACGGATCAACCGATTTGAATAATTCAAAAAACATTCGATTCGTATTGATAAGGAGACGTGCTGATTAGTTTTTGGCGAAGGCAGGTCTAGCCGTTCCGCAGATCGGGGCAAAAAGTGCCGAAAACGGTAACTCAGTTTTTAAGAGAACGGAGCGTCCGATTTGAATAATTAAAAAAATATTTTATTTGTATTGACTAAATGAAGAACTGTTCAAATTTTTGGAAAGGCAGGTCCAACGACTTTGCACATATGCACATCAAATAATTAGATATTTTATAGAGATTTTAACAATAAGTATAAATTTTGTTTACATTCCTATGGGTTCCGTACTAATGTTTACGCGTTAGACGGCGACGCGGCGCTTACGCGCTTCGATATTTCGTCTTTATGCAGTTAAAGCAGTACGATTGCTTTGAAAAAAAGTTCAGAATTTCCAAAATATTTCAAACTAGGATAGAATGATTTAATATGGTTCGAAATTCTATTAAAAGTTTCAAATCATTGATCAACTTTTATTGATTATTTTTAATTACTCGAATTTTGAATTGCGGTGCGGGAAGTACCAGCAATTTGCCTTAAGGCACGTTGCCTTAATTGCCTTAAGACAGAATTCAACTTACAGCTAGTTGCGGCTTTTATAAAACAATGTGTTTAATTTTTTTCTGGTTTACTTTCTGAACGATGATACACATACGTTGTTGAAACGTACATAATTATAGTTTTTTATTTCGACTATTTGGCTGCAAATAATAATTTCAAGAATACTTTTCAACGTGGAACAAAATTAATCAAAATATGAGCATGATTTATTGGAAAAGGACGCATTATCAGAAATAAACCGCATTTTGAATAATGTTAACTTTGTTTGCAGCTAACGATGCCAAGAAGACTGCGATTGATGCCTTTGATGAAGAGTTTTCTAAAGCAGAAAAGGCTATCGATGGCAAAGTTCAAGATGTTACAAATGCAGCCGATGCCAAATTAAAACAAGCAGGAGAGACACTGGATGGTACATTGAAAAATGTCGGACAAGCAATGGACAGTACAGTTGATCAAACTACTGGCTTCGTCGATAATACGTTGAAACAAGCCGAAAGCGCCATCGATAATACGATGCACGCCGCGAGCAGCGCAGTGGATTCAAAAATAAAAGAAGCTGATCAGTTTATCGATGGAAAACGAGAACAAATTGGAAAAACTGTAGCCGACGCCGCTGGAAAAATTCACGGAGCTACAGATAATGCAGCTTCTGGTGCTCAAGGCCTTCTTGGAAAAGCAACTGCAGGCTTATTTAAATAGCTTGCTTAATTTATCTTGCTAAATTTTATGTCTATTTTAAATGAAATATGCAGATTTGCTGATAATTATAGCTCTCTGAGTTTGTCGGAGAATGGATTTATTACAAGTCAATGAATGTGTGATTTGAAGCTTCAAACTAATAATTTTTCAAACAATAGCATTACAATATCTTTTGGTGTTTTCAATAGGTGTGAACACGATTGCTATAATATTGTTGAATATTTCATTGCATGTTCCATGAATATAAATCGCACAATTACCTGAGTGGTTACTTATGCCTTAAATCTTGTGTTATTAAATTTAATGTAAGATATTCAATAAATATAAATGTTATAAGTAAGTTAAAAGTATATTAACGAAAAACACCTTTTTATTTTAATCCTTTTCATATAATACCTGTGTTTATTAAAATTTATTCAAGTTATATAAAATATTGATTTGCATACTTAGAAAATTTAATAATTTGTTCATAATTTTAGAAGAATGTGTGGACTGAATTTATAAATATGAAAACTATGCAACAGACATTAATATCCATGCATTTATCAGTTGTTCGTAAAGCTCTAAGTGATTTTAGAAGCAAAACATATTCTCTACTTGTACTTCATATATTTTGGAAACTTTAAAGACCTTGCTTTTCAAAACTCGTTTTATATTTCTCACTCATTAAAATAGCATAATTAATTAGTGTAAAAATACACTCTTTTAATCCAAAAAGGATATTTTGATATATACAAATATGATAAATCATGCTTAATGATAATATTTTTTCTTTCAGCATTAACTGTAATTACACTTTCTTCACAATTTGCACTACATCTTCATCACAAAGCACATGATCCTTTCCGACTTTTTGCGGTTGATGTTTAACAGATGACCCCCAAACTAATGCACTTAAAGTGAAATTGAGTGATGATAAATTTTTTTAAGGTTGGTTATCAATCAATACAGCTACTATATTATCAAATATACGAAACATTTCTTTAATAATACTTACTATTTGAACTCTTTAGCAATGGTTCTGTGCAACTTATTGCAGAAATCCTCAACACTTGTTCGATCACTATGTAGTACTATAGGCGAGTTATAATCTGGCAGTTGTCCTTTTGGCTTTGTATAACTAAAGGTTGTTAAAGTCTTAGATTTCATTACCAATAACAAAAAAAATATTATAAGTAGACACTTACATGCGAACCAATTTTAAATATTCCCACATTTTCTCAAGCAGATCATCAAAATTCCAACGATGATGTGCAGAAATAGGAACACAATGGGGAATTTTATAAATAACATCTAATTCCTCAATGCTTATTTGATCTATGTAAATATTTAACATAATAAGTAAATTTTCTAATTAAAAAGAGAATTTATATTTTTATGTTCAAATATACCTATTTTGTTTAATAAATATATGCAAGGGACATATATGCGATTTCCCTCAATAACATCTATAAGATCATCGCTGGTAGCATCGTAACGTAGAGTGATATCAGCATTATGAATTTTGTATTCTGATAAAATAGTTCTCACAGTTTCTAAGTCTAATTCTGATTGTGGACACTGAAAAAAAGAAAAACAAAACGATTTATATAAAACTAATATGTAAAGTTAGACAGTAATAACTTTCATAGCATGTTTAATATTATATCCTTACAGTCACATTCAGATTAATTCCTCCTTTATCCTTTTTCCTGTAGTGAATATTAGGTGGTTGTTTATTGAGTCTTAAGCCAAATCCTTCCAATTCATGTTCAAGAAGTTTTTTATGTTGCAAAGGTTTTAACACATCCAGCACAATGAAAATCAATCCACATGTACGTGCTACAGCGATTACTTGACGACCACGACCCTTGCCATCTTTAGCACCTTCAATGATTCCAGGTAAATCCAATAACTAAAATAATTTATAAAACAATTGATTCATAGATTAATCGTTGTTGGTTGGAAACTGCAAATAATATTCTTAAGCAATATCACTTATTTAGCCAAAGTGTTTTAGTTAGAGATTTATTCTGATTATATTATAGTGTATTGCATTAAAGAAATTATTAATTTATGAATAATGTACCAATTAACATGGTCTCATACCATAAACCATAACTCACTTGAATTTTAGCACCTTTGTATTTAATACAACCTGGAACAGTTGTTAAAGTGGTAAATTCATAAGCTGCCACTTCTGAATAAACTCCTGCTAAAGTTGATAAAAGTGTAGACTTTCCAACTGAAGGAAATCCAACAAAACCTATTCTTGCATCTCCAGTTTTAGCGACATCAAAACCTAATGAAATTACCAGAAAATATTGTTAAATTTTACTTCAGGCACTAGTACAAATGATAAAAAAAATGTTTTACATGAAATATTGCTATAGTATGTTTCAGAATGATAAAAAAATATGTAGTTTTGAATTCATTAAGTCTCTGAATGCACTGATTTGTATATACCTTCACCAGCTGCTCCGCCACCTCCTTTGGGGGTAATTAGCTCGCGTCTTAATTTGGCGAGTTTAGCTTTCAATAACCCTAAGTGACCAGATGTTGCTTTATTTTTTTGGGTACGTGCCATCTAAAATTGTCAATAAACATTTTATTCCTTGACTTTTGCATAGTTATAGATAACCTAAAAATACCTCCGCCTCTATAGCTGCTATCTTTTCCAATATAGTACTCATCTTGAAATAAACTTTGAAATAGAATTTGGAAAATAGTTATAAATTATATGTGTAATGAAGTATATTAATATATTAGATAGTAGAATTTGAAAAATATACAGACGCTTTTCTACGTTGGCAAAAGTTTATGCATGTGCTTTTTGTCCAAATTTCACTTTGACAGTTCGTATTGTATCATATCACCGTGGCATAGAACAGATATTATGTAGACGGAAATAATTAAGAGCAAACACACAGACATAGATAAATAAGCATAAATAGCACACATAGATAGATAAGCATAAATAGATCGCTATCTCGGGCCATTTGACGTTACACTCATTTTAATTTACGAATAGATCGCTACATGGCAGCACATGTACATACAGTATGTAAATTAACCCCTGGTATTACTTCTACATTTGTACATCAAATCAATACAGCCCAAAAATCTGAAAAAAAATATTATTTGAAATAAGAACAAAACATACGAAATACAAAATATATTTTCAAATATATCACAGACATATTTTTGAAGAATTATAAACTAAACAGAAATAACTGACTACTATTAATTAAAGTATATTACAGACATATTTTTAAAGTACTTATTCTATTAATAACTTATTCATATTAATTACTTAATGACTAATAATAATATATTAAAAACTTAAAAACTAAGAAGTAAGTAAGAAGGAGTATTGATGATGTAATGACAAATTTAGAAGGAATGACAAGTAATGCAATAATTTAAAAGGATAAAAAGAACAGCACATTTTTAAAAAAGAATGAATACTTTCCAAACAAAATAATCCTAAAAACAAAACATATATATATTGATATCCAAATTGAGATAAAACTAAATTCCTAGGATTAAAATTCATTTACGAGACATTCTTGTTTATTATCTCTCCACTTAATAGTTATTTTGCTATCTAATCAATCATTAATAAAGTTATATTTGACGAAATCTTTGAATAGTTTCTGTATAAGTGTTTTTAAACGTAAGTAACCAAAACCCTGAACTACTTTTAATTTATACCAATTGTAGCTCAAATCTATCTATCGTTTTAATCCAGTTTTTATTGCAAGGAGGTTTAGTTAAAACTATAACTAAACCCTTGCGCTTTATAAACTGTCTGGTCTTTGAGTATGCTCTCTTAATTGAGACATTATCAAAATTCTTGCCCTTACATTTTAAGTTTCCGGAATATTTGAAAACTTCTCAGAACATTGTATACTCTGTTGGAATTTATCCTTTAAATTATTGCATTGCATTTTAATCCCGAAACAAAATTTGATGTATCATACATCTTCTGGGTGTTAAGGCACTCCTACGCCTTATCATTGCATTCTGCGGCGATTTGCAGCTACCATCAAGGACTTCTATTGAATATATTGTTATATCATATTAATTGAAGATATTGTAATTATCATATTAAATATTTTTGCTGCAATTAGTATGAAAAAATACCTTTTCGGAAAACTGGTGTCAGAATAGGTGACTTTTAACCTGCACTTCACAATCTTAGAGGTGCTGCAAAAATCTTTTTCAAGGTGTTTAGGCTTCCATCTCCTAAGAACATAAGATTCATTTATTAATATTTTTTTGCAAATGTTATTGAAGTATTTAGAGTTATAATTACTTGGCTTTGTCCTTGGAGTTGCAGATTGTTCTTCTGGTTCTGTATCAGAGCATTCTCCAGTGACTTGAAAACTATTTTGTTATTGCCGTAAAGGAGACACTTCTATTTGGTTTCGATTTCAAATTATCGTTGATTTGTGCCACAAACCGAAGAGTTAGGTCATCCATTAAAAGATTATTCGCCCTCTGCATCCAAATTGAAAGCATCTTTTTACACACAAATATATATATAAATATATATTTATATTTATATATATATATATATATATATATATATATATATATAACATTTTAATAGTATTGTGATGATACATATTCATTATATGCATAATACATCATTATATACATACCTGATAATTAGATGCCGGAAAAACATGCATTTTTTTATTATATTTGGGGTTATAACAATTTGGCACATAACACTTTATCATTTTAACTTAATAATAAATGAAAAAAGTATTCACCAAAACATAATTATATATAAACAATCACAGAAAATCTCAACTACAATACGCGATGACAATTTGACAACTTATAGAAGATGGCCGATCAAATCAATGTAGATCAACAAGCCAGCTGCTAGATCAATGAAATTGGAAATCGTAGCGCCATCCTTCGAACTATTCAAATACCAATCCATTTCAAAACACGGTAATCTTCATTTGTTCGGAGATTACCGGCCATGCACACAGAAACACAGAAATCAAAGATAAAGATAGTCTCCGCGCGAAGCGCGAATTCGAATCAAGATTTATGCAAAAACTGCATTTGCGGGAAATTCACAACACTCTCGAACAATTTACAACCATTTCAGACAGTTTACATTTTTTTTATATTATTTCTGGAAAGTATAAACCATTTAAACTATTATCTATATATTATCCATGACTGCATATGAATAATCAAATTAAAGTCCTCCAAATCCCATACTTTGATTCGATTTTTTTTATATAATAGGAATGAATAATTAAATTTTAAATGCTATATTTATGGCTATATTTTCAAATCAAATTCAGAAAACAAGCGTAAATTTGCTCATCATTTGCTTCAAGATAAGAACTCAAAACATAATTATTGCATAAAAAGAAACTATTCTCTTCCGCCTGATTAGTTATAATTTAGCATTTTAAATTGACAACTGTACAGAAGTTGTCAATTTGTTTAATTTTTAATTCGTGTTTCATTTCTTAAGTTGTTATTTGTTCTATTTCAAAAATTCTTGTTTACGAAGTACGAGAAGAGACAGCCATCTTGTTTTCTCTTTCATCTTTGTTATTAAACCCAGTTTCTGATTATGAGAACAAGCTGTATACAATAATACAATAATACGATATAAATTGTGAGTGTGAATATGTGAGCATTGCTTATTCATAGAGTTATGGGAAACCAAATACATTTATAAACAAAGATTAAATTTTATTGGTTTTAAAGTGTCGAAAGCAAGTGTAAGTTTTATTTTTGTCTCTTAGGTTATATGATTTTTTTAAAGAATATTTGATAATGTAAGACATTTATTAATATGTTAGCAATGCATCGATAATGGAATAGTATTTTTAGGGCTTCAAACTTTATACTATCTTTAATTCCAAAAACGAGCTTATGGATAATGACAATGCTGAGCAATAAGTTCTATTAAATTAAGCATCGTTAAGATATTTTACAATGACAAAATTCGCTCTGTATTATTTAATTTTAGAAGTGTTTTTCTGTTTGTGCATTCAAAATGTTTATAGTAAAGCAGCAATTGATGACAATAGACAATCCTTTCAAGGCTCTATGTTTTGTGAATATTACAATGAAAAATGTAACAATCCAGATGATCACAGTATAGACCAAGAAAAGTGCAAAATTGACTCTGAAGAATGTGTTTATACAGAGGGTATAAAACATTTTCAATGTTTTGTTTTATGGAAAGTTGACAATGCTACCAAGCAGCCTATAATTCATATGAAAGGATGCTTTTCCAGTGGTGAAGACTGCTACAAAAAAAATGAATGTGTTGCTAAAGCACATGAGACTAGAAATGGTTATTTGTTTTGTTGCTGTGAAGGTGACTATTGCAATAAAAGATTTGAATCTCGTAAAGAACTTTCTACTGAACGGCCAGTAGTCAATCATCCTGCAACTAAACCTGGTCATACAGTATTTCATATATTATTATTCACATGCCTAGCTCTGCTTTTAGCTTTTGGCATTATATTTGTGGTCTATTATTTTTTGAAAACATGCAAGGTTAATTACCATGAGTCTCCAACACAAGCTTTACTTCCTACAATACCTCAGTCACCGACTGAAGATCTCGGCCATATTCAATTGCTAGAGGTAAAAGCTTCAGGTCGTTTTGGATCAGTTTGGCGTGCAAAACGTAATGACGATGAAGTTGCTGTTAAAATTTTTCCAGTTCAGGATCAACAATCCTGGCTGGCAGAGCAGGAAATATTCAAACTTCCAAATATGTGTCATCCTGATACTTGAATACATTGGTGTAGAGAAGCGAGGTGATCACCTTCACACAGAATTTTGGCTTGTGACAGCATACCATCATCGAGGATCATTATGCGATTATCTGAAAGCTCATACTGTGACTTGGAATGAAATGGGCCGCATAGCAGAATCTATGGCAAGAGGATTAACTCACTTGCATGATGTAATTCCAGGACCAAAAGGAATGGAAATAAAACCTGCTGTTGCTCATCGTGATTTCAAGAGTAAGAATGTTCTCTTGAAAGCTGATATGAGCGCTTGTATTGCTGATTTTGGATTGGCCCTCATATTTCAACCAGGAAAGGCCTGTGGTGATACACATGGACAAGTTGGAACTCGTCGTTACATGGCTCCTGAGGTATTAGAAGGAGCCATAAATTTCACATTGGATGCATTTTTGAGAATCGATATGTATGCATGTGGTTTAGTTCTTTGGGAATTAGCTTCCAGATGCTCTGACCAAGGAATTGCTTGTCCAGAGTACAAATTACCATTTGAAGCAGAAGTTGGTACACATCCAACATTAGAAGAGATGCAGGAAGCAGTTGTAACAAAGAAAGTACGACCAGCAATTTTAGATCAGTGGAAACAACATCCAGGTTTAGCAACCATGTGCAACACTATGGAAGAGTGCTGGGATCATGATGCTGAAGCACGCTTATCTGCCAGTTGTGTTATGGAACGTGTCAGTCATTTGATGCGTTATGACGTACAGCAAAGTGAGGGTCTCATATTAGAGACTAATCCGAAAGTATCTTTGTGATTGAGTTAATGGATATTTACAGTGTTAAATATTTAAATGGATAATGAAATAATTTTATAGAAACAAACAGATTTTTGTGTTATAAATGATGTGTGTATGTGTGTGCATATTCTTGCATGTTTGTTTTGTGTATGTGCATTTGATTACAATGTATGTATTTAAAGTTTGTGAAAAGAATGGGTAATTTTATAAATGTATAAATGTGACATTAGTAAAATGAAAAAAAAAATTACTTATTGTAAGACTTGTTGGAACAAAATGCTCTAATAAATATGTGACAACTATTTTGTAAGAGCTTTACTAATAGCTAAATCTTCACAATATGATGAAATGAGATAAAGTTCATAAAATCAAAGAAAATCTTCAGTTTGAATGCTGATATTAAAGGAATTAAAAATGTTGGAAATAACTGTTTTTTATATGTTTGAGCTACTGAATGATTACACATAGTGTTCAAAACATACAATAAATAATCCCATGATCTTTGATATTTATTTTTTCTTTTGATGAATTGACGACAAATATTTTCTAACAATATGTTTCAATGCTGGATAATCCAATCTTCATATAATATATTTGTGTTAGTAAATTTGTTTTAAACGGATAATTTGAACCTTCTGTAAATTCATAATACTTTAATATGAATGTGTATATATATAATACTAATAATATTTTATAAATAATGATATAAATAAATATATTACAAATTTAACTGTAAAATGACAACTTTTTAAAAATTTATTGTTTGTCAATAATAAGTCACATGATAATATTGCTGATTTTGTTGATTTGCCAAAAAATTAAAAATAGTTTTTCAGTGTACTCTTATATTTATTAAGAACATAAATAGATTTTTATAATACATTTTTTTTATAAATTAAATATTATAATTATAATATAAAATCTATTTAATTGCAATATGATTATGTATATTATAATTATGTATATATTACACTACAATAATGAGCATAATAGTACTGCTGAGTTCTATAATGTGCTTCTGAATTCCCCAAATAAAAAGAGATAAAATGATATAAGTAATTTAATATTAAACGTTATCTTCAATTATAATATAATAGCCATAAAATTAATGCATGTTATACAAAAGAGATTTTTTATGCCTTTTAATTGTTGAATTAAATTATTTTTATAAACTTATTTGTGAAAACAAAAATTGAATTATTATAATATGAAAAAAAAATAGCAAGAAAAATGAAATTAAATATTCTAATGTATAGTTGAACATTAAAAAGCATGGAAATATAAAATATGATAGCAAGATTCTCATTAAGTTTTTGAGACTGACATTTGTAAAGTTTATATATTTGCTTTTATAATATTGTATTTTATACTTGCATTTTTAATTTTATGTATGCAATATTTATTCAAAAATATATATATTATGACTTTTCTTTAACTATTTCTTTATAAATCCGTATTTTCATATAATGATTATATGGTGAATTTCTTCCCTTCATAGTACTTTTATTTACTTCTTTTTAAATATTGACTGACTTTAATTTTAATATAATCCAAAAGTGTGTTCTTTTACAAATCTTTTATCAAATAAAGAAAATTATTTCAAACAAACTCGAATACCTTTGTAATGTTTATTTTAACGACATAAAATTATATTTGAAACGAATTGCAAAAAAAAAAAAATTTAAAAAAAATAACTTCGGATTATTGGACGAACATAATTTTTATAACTAACTTTTATTTACTTCTTTTTAAATATTGACTGACTTTAATTTTAATATAATCGAAAAGTGTAGCCTTTCACGAATCGTTTATCAAATAAAGAAAATTATTTCAAACAAACTCGAATACCTTTGTAATGTTTATTTTAACGACATAAAATTATATTTGAAACGAATTGCAAAAAAAAAAAAATTAAAAAAAAATAACTTCGGATTATTGGATGAACATAATTTTTATAACTAACAGATGAGTGCAAAATTTATTTTGTTCCCACATTTTAGTCAAAAATCATCTCCAATTTTAAAATTTCAAAAATTATACGAAAGATATTAGTTGAAAATCGTGCTGATTAGTTTTTGTTGAAGATTGGCCGGACCGTTTCTTTGTTCTGAATTTTTTTATCATTTAGTGGAACTTTGAAATAGAAAATAAGAACAAAAAACAAATAAAGAAGAG